GCCAGGAAGAGAAAAGTGCTCGTTCGTGCACTCACGGAAGGTTATAGGTCTTAGACAGCGTTTACATTTGCAGCACTTACACTGCTGAGAGCGCCACCCTGAGGACAGCTCTCCCACACAGTGAAGCTATGGTGGACGGGGAGGGAGGGAGATTGTCGCACATCCTGTCCCTACACAGACCCCTCTTCGCAAATGCTGCTCAGCTACAGGAACTCAGCATTGCTGCAAACGGACACTGTCACCTGTCCAGATACGTGAGCACTTACCGAAAACAGGAAGGGCAGTTTTCAACTTCCTGGGGCTTTACAGTGGGAGGGGCAACCATCTTGCCTGGCATCAAAGCAGACAAGGTGCTGGCTAGAGTGGTCGCCGAGGCACTGTGGGATATCCCACAGAGGCTAACAGCTCTGTGAGTGGAAAGAACGTGTCGTCCCCTGCCCATCACAGCAAAATGACTTGCACATCATGGCAAAAGCATCATCCATCAGAGCTGTACGGCACTCAAGCAGGCTGTTTTCTTTCTGCAGTGAAACTTCTGAGTTTCACCAGGAAAAGTCATTGACAAGTGTAGACCATCCCCTGGGTTTTGTGGGAAATAAAGGGACTATTTCCCCCGCTTTAAATGGCAAGTGTGGACAGGCCCTAAGAAAATCCCGTCTTTCTGCAATACCACAAAGTGCAAGAGAGTCTCTTTGAGCTTTAGCGAGATCCAATCTTGGTACAACAGAGAAAGTAACAAACTCCTTCTGAGTTTCACTCAAATCCAGAACTAGCTCTGGGACATTAAGAGGCTTTTCACACAACTTCCTTTTGGGTAAGCCGCCGGACACAACACACACAAAGTTCCCATGCGATCAGCGGGTAATTCAGTTAAATCACCTTGTGCCTGTTTATGATAGTAACCTGATTGGCCAAGGCTGTCATATTTTTACCCAACAACACACTAGCAACAGGCCAAACAGAATTGGCTGGCCCCTAGGAGCTATTTATGTCATCAACTGGATGCAAACAATACAAACTGCTGATACAAACTTATACATGCTTCCTGCTTGCGCAGATGCTGTGTCCAGAATCAACTCTGAGACAACGGATACATTTTCCAACCATCACAGGTTGGCAGACCTCTGACGGCTTTAGAGACAGAGAAAAGCAGGAGAAATGTTCTCCTTTATTAGCCACTATAATATTTTCCACATGTAAAGAGTTTGAGATATCATATTCCTGACCAATGAATTCTCCGTGTCCAGATTCACTTCTGAGACATTAGACATTCAGAACCCTCATTCACATATACACTGCTTTTCTACACAAAGAGCTATTTTCTTCAAACATTTACTCCTGGGGGCTTTCTGTGCCAAAAATGTCAAAATTCTGCAAAAGTCTGCCTATTTTGTCAAAATAATGCAATATAACAATACCAGTTTCAATTGTTTTAGTAATTTATTTAAACTACAATAGAAAAGAAAGTAATGATAACTATTCGGCATTTTCTAAACACATGAAAGATAAGTTACAAACACTTGGTAACGAATACTTTGCATTCCAGTCATAATTCTGGGTTTTCATTTAAATTACATTACAAAACACTAAAACAGTAATAACAAAAGGAGGGTGTCATTTTAAATTTTTCAGACTTTCACTCATGAAAGCCATACAGTTTTGCAAATCATTGCCCTGCATTTCAATTACTGGACAGCAAGCAAAGAGCCTTCCCGTTTTTCTCAGTGAGAGATTTCCTTCTCTTAGAAAGGATCAAATTACAGTAGACTTCCAATAATCTGGCACCTTTGGGACCAAGGTGATGCCGGATTATCGGATATGCTGGACTACCGGGAGGTACTATAAGGGGGCACACTCCCAACCCAATCCACCTTCCCTTCCCTCCCCTCCCCTTTGCCAGAGCCAAACTCCTCCACTCCCTGCTGTAACCCAGTCCCCCTTCTCCTCTAACCTTATGTCCGAATACCAAGGCAGCTTCCTTTGCTCAGCGGTCGGCTGCTAGCAAATGCAGGCTGGATGCTGTGTGCCCTGGGGACTGTGAATGGAACGGCACGTGCCAGGAGCACGGATGCGGCTCACTGCAGCCCAGCCGTGAGAGTGGCTGACCGGAGCACTTCTGGGTTCCAGTTGCTGCTGGACTATTGGGAGTGCCGGACAACTTGACGCCAGACCATTGCAGTTTTACTGTATACAGTAAAAAACTTCTTTCTGCTTCTGTAAACTTTAAGACAGCACTTACTCAAGTCAAGATCAACTTGGCAATATTTGTCATTCTCTCTATCACTGAAAGCCAAAACCTTTGGGGTAGGTCTACACTGCAACATTATTTCGAAATAAGCAGAGTTATTCCGAAATAACTGAGTCCACATCTACACAGCAGGCAGTTATTTCAAAATAGCGGCAAAATACTGTCAAGCTGGAGGACTTCTTGCTCTGATTCCTGTAACCCTCATTGCATGAGTAGGGGGAGTCGGAGGAAGAGTGCTCTATTTCAGGAATAAGTGCTGTGTAGACGCTCCGTATTTCAAAATAAGCTACGTAATTGACATAGCTCAATTTGCGTAGCTTATTTCGAGTTAACCCAGGCTGTGTAGACGCACCCTCGGAGGCCTACCAAAAAAAATCTTTTCCCTGTACAATTTTAGCTCTTGTTTACGTACCTCAGAAAAACCAGATATTTCTTGAACGCATTCACAGTCTTTCAGCATCATGAGGATCAAATAACCTACAAGCCTTCCGAAAATTTAGATCTGGTTGTCCAAAGAACAAATATTTGCCAAGTTTTTCAGTTGCTTCAGGAATAGCTCTATGAAGAGATCTAAAGAATAGCTCCCCTCATGCAAAAGAACACATTCCCCTTTGCCCTTTGGTCTCTTCTTTGGGACTAGGGATGTAATAGTGTAACTGTTTAAACAGTTAGCTCAGGGATAGGGAACCTTTTTAGGATCCGGGGCCACTGACTCACAGAAAAATCAGCAGGGAAAAGTTGGCATAGAAAAATGCAGGCCAAATGAATCCTCCCAGGAGTAAAACATTTGGCAAAACCCTTCCTTGGCAAAGCATTGCCCCTAACAGACATAGGCTTAGGATTATCCCTTTCCTGTGACTGATTCCACACATCATATGGGCTGCCCAAAGCTTTGAAATAATTCCCCATGAAAAAATCTGAAGGAACTGAACTTTTCGCTCACCCCATTGTGAGGTCATCAAATCGCTTCCACTTCAGGTGGATTTTAGCTAAAGGCACTCGGACAAAATATCCAGACCAGGCCACCAGAGTTACACTTTCACCTGGCAAGT